ATTGAAAGACCCTAACTTTCGTATATTTGAAAGACCCAAACTTTCATACTTCACAATATCATTACTCCAAAACATGCTACATGCATATTTATAAAACAATATTTTATATTGATAAAGTGATTACAAAAGATTGGATACAAACCGACTAAGTTCTATTACATTTCATATCTACCCAGGAATCTACTATTCATATACACACATGAACTTTAAAAAAATACAGAGAAATAGTATTAACTATTCTAAATCTTTCAGCAATATAAAACTATATTGGATACTCATCACCTGCAATTGTTAAATATTGAGAGGAATAAGTGATAACGCTTAGTGAATTCAATAAATAGATACAATATAATCTTATGCCTTATATATACTTCAATGTGGCAAAAGCAAAGAAGAACAACAAGACATATGTGAAATCATGTGATAAGCGTTCTTATCAATCAAAGACTTTATTCAAAGATATACTTTTCAATGTGACATAACGATTTCAATACTTGATATGAATCAATAAAGCTTTGGCCTAAATGGCACAGAAGACATATAGATTCTGATTATCAATATCATAGATTTTAGGTTTTCATGCCCTGTTTAGCATTTCGGTAGATTTCAGGTTTTCACGCCCTGTTTAACCATTTGCCAATACCATAGAACATAGTTCAATTCCTTTACGGAGTCATGCTCTACATGGTCGGAGGCTACATACCATTCCTATCTAACTTTCTGCCAATGCCATAGAATAGAAGTCATTCTCTTACGGAGACATGCTCTACATGGCCAAAGGCTACGTACCAGTACCAATGTGAATCTAAGTCCTTTCACTGATCACATGGTCAAAGGTATTATATTTGCTATAAACATTGCGAATAAAATAACACGGGAAATAGTAATTTAGACAGCATTTCGGCTTTACATATGACATATAACACATAACATACAATTGTTCCTATATATTGAACTCACCTTAAGTTAACCGGGGGTTAAAATAGTAATTTAGACAACATTTCGGCTTTAAATATGACTTTCTATGTTGAAAACAGGGAGCTTAATTGAAAACCGGGCTCTGCGAAGGTAGGGATTCAAAACCGAAAAGATAAAATTTCCGGGCTTCTCGGGGGTCTCAGGACGTGTTTCGGGTGCTAAAATTGATACCGGGGCTTTGGGGAAAGTCAAAATAGTGAATATATGAAATTAGGGTGAAAAAGTGTTAATTTTTCAAAGTTACCCGGGAAGGCTCGCAGCCTCCCTTTATATAGGGTGAGAGGGTTCGGACCTAGTGGCTGGGAAGTGTCCATGTCGCACCTGCGAGGCTCGGTCTGGAGGGGGGTGACGAAGTAGATGCGAAGCAGCTCGGTGGCAGCAGCTACGAAGGGCACGCGGTAGGAGAAGCGAAGGGCACAAGGCCGCTGCGAGGCTTGGACGTGGAAGCGACAAAGCAGCGAGGGACACGCAAGGGGGACAAATCTTCGGCTCGTACACATGGCGCTGCGAGGTGAGGCCATGACTCCGGTGATGCACCTGTTTCGTGCGAGGTGACATGGTCGGTACTGTTCATGCGAAATTCCTCGGTTTTTGGGCCCCGAACTTCTAAAATCCATAACTTTCGCATATGAGCTCCATTTTGATGTTATTTATATGCACGCATAGCTAAAATTACGCTCTACAACTTTCTTTTAGACATCGTCAGCTAATTTTTACTTTATTTTTAATATTATTATTTTTAATAGAACGGGACAGGAAAATCCGTTAAAAATTCATAACTTCTTCATCTGACATCCGTTTTCGTCAGACTTTTTACCGTTGTACTACAAATAACGAGACCTTCAATTCTCGTTTAGGATGTATCAGTGAAATATCGCTCGATCTAAAATTCGAGTTTTTAGCTGTCTACTGCTAAGTTGAAACTTCGAAAAATCATAACTTCCTCATACGAAGTCAGATTTTGGCATTCTTTTTATCGAATTTCTTGGTTTAACGAATACTACGACTTTTATTAAGATTACTAAGGCTAAAAAGTAGTTTATCAAAAACTCACTTTTTATGTCATTCGGCGTCGTGCCGGTTTTGTCGCGGATCTTCGGTTGGTCATAACTTCTTCGTTATAACTCCGATTTCGACGAGGTTTTCGCCTACAAGTTTCTAACGAGATTCTCTACAACATCAAATAATAAAATTTTACTTATTTAAAATTTTATATTTTCGCTAAATTTCACTATTTGGCTTTTAATTGGAATCTCATAAGACTTCCAATATTTTCTGAGTGATTCTAAACGTAGTTTTACTTCATTTCTAGTAAAAATCATCTGTTAGAACTCAACACTCAATTTCACATAGTATTTCACAATTTTATTCATTACAAAACACGATTTCAAAACGTGTATGTTACAAATTGCCAATAATTATATTAATTCAGGGAATTCTAAAAGATTATCTTCATGATTATCAATAAAAACATTCTTTTCTGATAGAATGCTATAAACGAATAAATACCATTTAGTTGAAGCGTTTTAGTGAGCACTTGGTGTGCATGAAAATATCTTTCAATTCAGTGGAAGCATTCATCTGTCAAATAAGCAACCAAAACAACCACGGTTTGTATTCAACCAATCAAACCCAAAAACTCATCTAAACCTATCGATTAAACTTCATCAATTTACAGTAAATCAATCAAAATAAGAAAGAATATTAAAGAAACCTGTGATTATCCAGCCAACAACAACCCTTTGTTTTTTCTTCTACTTGCCCATTGATTTCATAGCCTCAATCCAAACACCCATCTGATATCGGTTCTTCTTCCCTTCCTCCACCGAACCATTGATGCATTTTGTTGAATGTTTTATGTACGTGATTATACCTGAGAAAGCTGGATTGGAAAATTGGGTTTGTTATCAATGGTTTATGTGCGTTTTGAATTATCATTCGAAATCAATTGCAGATCCAAATCAATTACGAGTCAATTTCAACTATGGAAAGTTTCATCAACGAGATCAATTATATGTAACATTGATAATTTGAAAAAAGAAAAGTACCAGGAGCCAATTTTCGATTTGGATTTGATGCTAACTTGCTGATAAAACGAAAAGATAAACCCTAACCTGTCCTTTGACTTTCGAATTGATATCAGTATTGGTCTCAGGTTGGATTCTTGTCTTCCTCGTTTGTCATTCCATTTTGTTTTGATCGAAGAGGGTAGTTGTGGTATCGTCGGCAACGATGGCTATGAGGAAGGAATTGGGTAGTCATGGTGGTCGTATGCTATGAAGATGATGGTGTGGTTATCGACAATGAAGATAATGGTGGTGCTCAGTAACCGGAAAAACAGGAATATGGTGGTGGTCGTCTGGTAAATTTTGTGGGTCGATGTTTCTATACGGTGGAATCGGTGGAATGAGGGGTTTTGAAAGTGATGATGAAGGGATAAAGAGGGGAACGAGATTCAAACTGGAGAGATACCGTGATTATAGGAATTATTTTTGGAAGTTATTAAACAAATTACTAACTTACCCTTATTTATTTATTTTATTAATTAATTTTTTTATTTAATTTTGATTGCCCCACGTTAATGCATACAATAACACAATACTTAGTTAAAACACCTGAACCTAGCTATATATATATATATATATATATATATATATATATATATATATATATAAAGGAAAGTTAAAATGATAACTTAAAGATTTGTGAGAATTTGAGAACTCTTAATTCTCTTATCATTTTTCAAAACCTAATCCACAAATATTCACCAAATGTTGAATCTAAGAGGGATCAATGGTAAAAAAAGATTTGACAAATTTGTTTTTGGAAATATGAATATATATGCACGCATGCATATTTTTGGATTGCGGATGCATATATGATTATACATAGTAATATCTATAATCAACAGTTATATGGACTACAGAGGCAAATATATAGACTGCAGGCAGAAATATTATTTGCAGTGATATTGATAATCAATAGTTATATTGACTGCGGACACATATATGCATGTGTGCATATATATATATATATATATATATATATATATATATATATGGGTAAAGTGAATATACCTAACAACCTTATATATATATATATATATATATATATATATATATATATATATATATAGGGAAAATGACGTATAGGCCCTATAATGTTTCTAGGGTTGACCCATTTAGCCACTTAGCTTATTTTGTGGCTTAATAAGGGAACAAATTACTCTTTGTCGGGTCGATTAAGTCATTATTTCAATTTTGAAGGGGTTAGCCGGTCATTTTAAGTCCACCTCCTTCTACTAACACCACATAGGATGCTAACTGTGACTTTCGTCTTATGCCATGTCATTAATTAGTCGCCTCCTTCTTAATGTCAGTATATGCTTCATAAAAGAACCCTTTTACATCCACTATTCAACACTTCATCGGTAAACCCTTTTTTGTGAGCTGCTTCTGAATCCGCAAGCATGGAACCCGTATTTGTACAAGTAGATGTCCACTTCTAATGAATGTACGCTAGAAACCCTATACGCTACACCGGTGGAATTACTTAGAGGTTTTCGGATATCAATTTCGCAGGAATGGACAAGGATGGGTGTGTTGCGTTCATCGAACGGTTCACTGGGGAAAATGTGAGAAGCTCTATTACTACCAACTTGATATTGATTTGCCAAAAGGCTTGGCTCTAATTTGCAATGACCCCGATTATTACGACTTCATAGCAATTGCATATGAATGTTGTGTTATACTCCCTATGTATGTAAACCATTTTAGGAATAGTAACATACAGGAATGGTTGGATGAACACAAAGACAATTTTGTTGGTAACGTTGAGGAAGAAGTACTTGATGGTGCAGGATTGGTTAAGGAAGTTGCACCAGGGCATCGGGATGTGGGTGACACAAAAGATGAGGAAGAGAATGACAACGATAATGACGACGAGGATGAGGATGTCGATGATGCTGAGGATGACCATCAGAAGCCTCATTTTTTATAAAGGGTAATGAGATCTAGGTAGAGATGGGTGAGAAAGAAGGTGTATGTGAGTTTTTCGAAGAAGACATGGGTGAAAATGAAGATGTTTATCCCAAATTGCCAAACATTTTCAATGATAAGCTCAATTGGAAGGAGCAGGAACCTGATTTAGGTATGAGGTTTGAGAGTCCTAAGCAATTGAAACACATGCTTTGTAACTATGTTGTCGCGAATGGTTATCAATTATGTTTTTTTAAGAATGATACTAGACGATTACTTGTCAAATGTTGTGATGGAAAATGTACTTTTAGGCTTTGGGGTTCTTGGATGAGTGAAGATAAGTCTTTCTAGATAAAATCTCTTATCGGTGAGCATAATTGTGCAAAGAATTTCAAATTCAGATCAATTGTGACTTAAAAATGGATAGGGACCCACTTTAAGCACCAATTTTTTAACAATCAAAAGATGAGCGTCTGAATGCTTAGAGAGGAGGTAAAAACCAATTTTGGGATTAATGTGAGTATGAGTCAGTGTAGGAGAGCCAAGAAGCATGCATTAACTCTAGTTGAAGGCACTATACCTGAGAATTATGCAAGATTATGGTCATATGGTGAGGAGATTAGAAGATCAAATCCTGGATCCACAGTTAAAATTTGTGTTGATTTAATGGCTGATAGTAAGAATTATTTCAGCAAAATATACATATGTTTTTCTTCAGTAAAAGAGGGATTGAGCGGAAGATGTAGGAGGATCATTAACCTGGATGGTTATTTTCTGAAAAAAAAAATTGTTAAGGGGAGTTGCTTTGTGCTGTGGATAGAGATGCTAACAATGGAATATTCTCGATTGCTTGGGCAGTTGTTTCTGTGGAAAACAAAGAGAAATGGAAATGGTTCTTAGAAACTCTTTCAGAAGATTTGCAATGTTGGAATGATGGTAATGGTTTGGTTCTAATTTCGGATCAACACAAGGTATGGTTCAAAACTACTACATGTTCTAAATTTAGTTATTGCTATTCGAATTTCAAACATTAATGTGACTTATGTAGGGTTTGATTGAGGCAGTAAAGGAAGTATTTCTAGCAGTTGAACATAGGCAGTGTGCTAGACATATCTATGCGAATTTTAGAAAGAGATTTGGTGGATCCAAGTTTAAAAATCTGTTTTGGAAAGCGAGCAAGGCAACAACTGAAGCATAATTTAATGTACTTATGAAAGAGATTTGAAAATTAACTCTGAAAGCAGTTGTGCATCTTATGGATAGAGATCCAAAGACTTGGTCTTTGGCTTTTTTTAGAGTTCATCATTCTTGTGAGTCAGTAGAGAATGGTTTTTCAGAGAGTTTTAATAGTGTGATTTTGGATGCTCGGAAGAAACCAATAATAAGCATGTTAGAGGACATTCGTAGATGCAAAGGATGGTGACTATGAAACTAACTGGAAAAGGATGGAATCATTATTCTGTTTGTCCAAATATTAGAATACGGTTGAATATGCTCCAAACTAAGCAAAGGTTTGTACATTTATCTAATTACATTAGTACTTTACTCTTCACATCTCATGATATTTTTGGTTTTCATCTATATATGTAGGCATTGGCATGTCATTTCTTGTGTGTGTGTATGGGGGGGGTAAAGTTTGAGGCAAGGAAAATGGACGAGGCGCTTACTGTGAATGTTGAAAAAAAGGAATGCAGTTGCAGGCTATGGAAACTTAATGGATATGGTTGTGTACACTCAGTTGCCACCTTAGCCTACTTAAATATGACACCTGATGGTCCATATGTAGATCCAATGTACTTGGCTGCATTATACCATAATACTTACAAATAGCCAATCCATGGGATGAATGGAAAAAATATGTGGCCTTCTACTGACTTGATACCCCCTTTTTCTCCATTGAAAAGATGTATGCCAGGCAGGCCAACCATAAAGAGAAGAAAATATGCTTCTGAACGGATGGGAAAACATACCGTCTCCAAAGCAGGTAAGAAAGTTTCTTGTAGCATATGCATGGAGAAAGAACACAACAAGGCTACTTGTAGTAAAGGTGTAGGGACATCCAAACTAAATGGAACAAAGAAACAAAAAAACTATACCTATGCAAGAGTTTGTAAACATTGCCACATGAGTTGGGGATGATGAGGTAATGGTAGATGCTACTGATGCTTTGGATAGGCCTGGAGATGAAGAGCAAATGGTGGGAGTCAATGGACGGGATGAAGGGATGAATGTCAATGCTCGAGTTAAGCATGTTAAACCGCCTAAAATGCGAAAGAAGTCAGAAAGAATCATTAAAATGAAGCTTGCAAAAAATATAGGAAGTAAAGGTAGCAGTGTTGCAACGGCCACGGAGTTGGATTAAATAATTGTTTGTTATTTGTAGTGAATGTGTGTTGCAATAAACAAATGATATTTTTATGTTTTTTATGGTGTATTATGTTGTTTTGTTGTGTGGTAAGTTGTTATATTGTATGTTATTTTTGTCCCGTACCACGAATATTTAAGGGTATTATGGGCATTTTAGCCATTACGAAGTAAATTGACCATTTTTGATGTGGGGGCATTTGAGTCACTACAAATTAAATTTACCATTTTGGATGTGGGGGCATTTTAGTCATTAGAAATTAAATTTACCATTTTTGGATGTGGGGGCATTTTAGTCATTAGAAATTAATTTTACCATTTTTAGATGTGGGGGCATTTTCGTAATAACAAATTATATTGACCATTTTTGGATGTGGGAGAATTTGAGTCATTACAAATTAAATTTACCATTTTAGATGTGGGGGCATTTTAGTCATTAGAAATTAAATTGACCATTTCGGATGTGGTGGTAATTAAGTCATTACAAAGTAAATTGACCATTTTCAATGCGGGGGTAATTAAGTCATTGTAAAAAACAGGGTACTTGTGACTTAATCCATTCAACATGAAAAAGTCAATCTTTAGAAAACTTGATTCCCTTTTTTTTTCCAAAAAAGGTTTGTAGACAAGCAGACATATTCAATCGTGTGCAAAGGTATTTTTTGTACCTTTTCCCAAATTGCACCATTTGCGGTCTATGTCTATGTGCATAAAGAAAGGATATTCATTTTGCTTGTGGTCTCGTCCCAGTCGATGAAACATATATAATACCCAAATGTTTCTTTCTTTCATGCACACATATAGATACAGGTGTAAGACAGTTTTTTTAATAATACCATATTAAAACACATTTCAGCGATGGGTTTGTTTACATCTCTTTCTACTATTCAATGACCTATTACCGAGATCATCGACAAAAAACTTCATTAAAAAAACGATGACCATCAGCAGCCCATGCACCACCACCACCAAATCTACACACCAACATCACAAACTAATACTAGTAACCTACACAAAATCTACTACTAATATTGACACTAAACAACATAAATAACACACCAAAAGACAAACCCAGGACTGAAATGCTTCAACCTACACAACTTTTTTTACTGAAACACCAAATACGTCACCACGGATGCAGTAACAACACCAACAATCCCAACACAATACATCAGTTTCTTACGTTTGTTGTGCTTGAAGACCATCTTCACATATGCTCCTTGCAGAGAAACGAAATGATTTTTAAGATCAGCAACGACATTTGAGATATCCAACTGACCAGCACGAACATCATTGACCTCACGGTTCATGGCATCCAAGTCTCGATCAACTATCCGACGGAGCTCACACAACTGGTCTTGGAAGTCCTTCCATATAAGATACAGTTCCAGTAGGGTTTGCAGTAGATTGATGGCCATGTCTTCGTTGGTTACACCATTCGAATGATTCTCATCCATGTGACGACGGTAGTTTGGAGACCAGTTGTGTTCTGCATGTCCCATCGAAGCCATTTTGGAGTAAACTTAGAGACGAGATTGGGGTAATGAAGTTTGCATATATGCCGTTTTAGGTCGATCCTTGATCCTTACGATTCACCTTCAATATGTCGTCGTTGTGGTTGTTCGACGCTTTAAATTCTTGCCATGTCATCGCTTACGTCTTAGGATAGGTTTATGTGGCAACGTTAACCAACTACAATAGGTAAAATGGACTATATTGTTAGGTAACAAATACTTCGTTCCCTTATTAAGCCACAAAATAAGTTAAGTGGCTAAATGGGTCAACCCTAGAAACATTATAGGGCATATACGTCATTTTCCATATATATATATATATATATATATATATATATATATATATATATATATATATATATATATATATAGGGTTAAGTTCAAATGAGAACACTATATATATATATATATATATATATATAAACATTCAATTGATTTTTTAGCCTAAATATGGCTTAGACGCATCATTTGAAGAAGATTGATGGTCTTGGTTTTACACACACACACACACACACATATATATATATATATATATATATATATATATATATATAAACATTCAATTGATTTTTTAGCCTAAATATGGCTTAGACGCATCATTTGAAGAAGATTGATGGTCTTGGTTTTACACATAAGATGATCACGAGTTCTCACTTTCTCACACATATGTAAGTTCTCACAATAACTCACCTATATATATATATATATATATATATATATATATATATATAGAGAGAGAGAGAGAGAAAGAGAGAGGGAGAGAGAGTTAGGTTCAGGTATTCAAAGTAATTATTGTGTTATTGTATGTATAAATATGAGCCAATCAAAATTTAAAATAAAAATAAATAATTAAATAAATAAATTAGGGTAAATAGGTAATTTGATAATTAGTTTCCACAAATAATATCATATATTTATGGTAACCACTGGCTTCAGCTACCTAGGTTTTCTACATCCATCGTCTGCTTTTTAAAACTACCTCCAATGTAAACCGTAACCCTAATCAAACCATCTCCAGCCGTCACCTCCATCTTTATGCCTCCCACCACCGGCCGCCACCCTACCCTCTTGCTCCTCCGACCACCGTATCCACCGCTATGTCGAGGGTTGTTGTTGCTATCTTTTCGTGAAGGTTGAAGACAGAGACCGACGAGGGGTTGCGCCATTTCAGTCGTGTGTAAGGAGGAATGCACCACAGCCGCATGTCGCTGCAGTTGCTGTTGCTCGGAGATGTATCCATCGTCAGACGCCGCGACCTTCTTGCCTGAGAAGGGAGCTGTGGAGGAGCCGCTGCCATTGGTCGAAGTTCGCTGCCATCATTCTTCTTATTCTCTTTTCCCGCTAACTGCCACCTGTGTCAATGACCTTCTTCTTATGTGTAATTTACAAAGTGAAGGTAGTTTGTCACTATTTTCATATCAAATTGACTTCTTCTTATATGATAAAAATCAATTTGTTTATGTAGATGATTCAATGGATGATATTGGTGAGATTCCAATTCTATTGGAATGGAATCACGAATTCCAATTCTGTTTGAATGAAATCACGAATTCCAATTCTTTTAGAATTACAAAAGTTGATGTTTGAAGAACGGACCACAAAATTGAAAGTGATTCTAAGCAACATATTCTTTTAGAATGAATTAGTGTCGTTGTTAGATTTTGATGTTTTCTTTCCCGTTTTGAAAGTTTTTTTTGTTTTTTCTTTAAAAGTAAATGTAATTCTTAACAATTTTTACTCGTATTCTATAAGAAATAATGTATTTTTTGTTTTTATTCTTCAATTAATTGTTCAAGAATTTGTTATTCTACAAGAATTTTTTAACATCATGATCAAGAAATAGGTTCAAGAATATTTTTATTATTTATGGTTCAAGAATATTTTTATTTTTGAATATACTCAAACATATTCTGTCAAAATATTCAAATTAAAAGAATTATACGTAAAATCGTATTTTTAAAATTAATAGAATCTATGATCACTTAAAAAATGTAAGTTTCCTTTATTAAATCTATATTAATTGACTAAATTATCCTTGTAATTAATTAAGATGATATTTTTCAATTATATTTAATCCAATAATATATATTAATCACTTTATTAAAATAGGTAAATTTAATTGTCCTACATTTATGCATACAATAACATAATAATTACTTTGAATAGAATAACCTAAGCCTATATATATATATATATATATATATATATATATATATATATATATATATATATATATATATATATATATATATATATATAGGAGTAGGATCAAATGAGAATACCTAAAAGGTTGAGAACGCGAGAACAAATCCAGACCATCTAATTTTTAAGATGTGTGGCTAAAATTAATTGTTATTTTTCTAATTATTAATACATTTAAAATATAAATTTCAAATTAAAGAAAATTATAAAGGGTATTCAGGTAAATAAACATTACCCTAATTTTGTAAACTCCTATAATTACTCCTTGCCTCTCTATTCCGTTGACCTAATTTAATACAACATACATTTGACATCTTCATCACACAACCGAATCACACAACCTATCCCAGCTACTTTCCTTTTCCTTTTGCCTTGCTCGACAGATGAACCATCCATATCGAAGATGATGCTTCCTAATTTCACCCCAGATGTCGATTTTTTGTTGTTTGCTCTTTCCCCCCATTTGTGCGCTGCTGATGATGACGATTAAGTCACAAGGGTCGCCGGATAATCGACGCCCTTCCTTCCTCTCTTCCCTCTGTCTCTTCAACCTCTTCGAAGCAATAAAACATAATCAGGTGAGTGGATTATCGACTACAGTTCTTTCATTCCGAGTGAGAGTTTCACAAATTGATTTTGTTTTCATGTCATTATTTTTATTTTTTTATTTTTATTTTATTTTTTTTACTTTTGTGATCTATTATGGAAATCTGTATCAATTCAATGGGAATATCTTAATTTCGCTCAGCACATATTCGATGAAATGCCCCAAAGGTATCGATCCCATGTTCAATATCTGAAAGTAACAGTAATAGTAAAAGTGTCGATCTTGATTCCACTTCATGGACAAGGGATTGGTAGAAAGATTTGGTTAAAGCTATTCATGAGTTGCTTTCATTTTACGAATTAAGGTTCAGTCATGTTATAAAATTGGAAGATAATCTATTCAAAAGCAAGAAAACAGCTCATATTCTTTTGCTACAACAAGATTGAAAAAAAAGGCTTCGTATGATCCAAGATATTGATGGGTTTTGAGCATTCTAACACTTCTTAAGTGTACATGCAACCCTAATAACCTTGGATCTATGTTTGTCTAATTATCATGCAAAGTTGAATTCCAAGGTTATATTCCTATCTAGCATACATGGGGAACAATTTTAACTTAAAGTATAGATAGAATAACTTACCTTGTTGTTTGTGTTCCTTGAAACCTTGTGAGCCTAGCACCCCAAGTGTGATGCCTCAAATGCTTCACACAACACCAAATGCTCTTGGAAGAACTTATGAGAGAACACACACTTCTCAAAAATCGGCCAAGCCCTCTTGTTTCTTAGTGTCGCCGATTTTGGTGGAGAATATGTTTCTTATATAGTGTTGACACATCTAGGGTTAAACCCTAATGTGTCATGACTCTTCATTTCCATGACCCATGGGTTTGTAACTCCCATGGAGCATCCTATGGGTGGAACCCAACTTGATAATCCATGGAGCCTCTTAGCCCACTATACAAGATATGGATGATTTACATAATCAACCCATATATTTAATTAGTTATCTTTTGATCACATAATTAATTCTAAATTAATTCTTGATCAAACTAATCAAATAATATTATTAATATATTAAAACTTATAATATATTAATAATCTCCAAGTGTTATTTCTCTCATTTAGTCTATCCAATTGCATGGTGCCATGCAACCTAAATGGACCATGCCGGGTCGGGTCAAGTACATACCAGAAATAGTTATGGACTTAGACACCTTATTCAACAATCTCCCACTTGGATAAGTCTAATAACTATTACTGCAAGTATGACTTCAGGAACCGATCGGCAATCGTAGCTCTTTACAAGGTTTCTCGAAACTGAGAAGATGATGATACGCCATTTAAGATAAGTGATCATATAATCCTCTATTCTAGATATCAGTCGGACAAATACATGGAACAATGTCTTACTTATTGTCCAACAGTTTGTTTCCCGATTTCCGATTTGTTTGACAAAGAACTTCATTGAACACATCAATTCAGTTCTGACCGGGCCCGGTACATAGGTCAAAACAAAATCATCGAGGGGCCCAGATATAAGATTCTAATCCAAGAAGGAACAGATAAACTTTGACTCATATGTTTGTTCTACCACTCATTGAATTACACACAAGAGCGCGATTTATAACATCGAGTTACCAATGCGTTTTTCGTACAATCAATGCATAACCAACTTGTAAGTAACAAATCATATCTCTAGGTTTGAAGACTTATACGATATTACCGTCTCACGATCACTCGAGATAGAATTCCATGAAGTGATTCCAGTGAGCGTGGGTTGAGTCCAATGCTCAGAACTTATGAGCACTCATGATTGTTGTAGCCTTGTCCAAGACCTCTACAACCAAACATGACAGTCTTGATTCATACCTACTTCCGACATATGACCGATTGTGGAGGTTTGAATAATATGTTATACCAAACAAAAATTATTCTGGAAGTCAAAACATGCAAAAGAAATATAGTAAACGATCAACAAGAGATAGCAACACTTTACTCATAAATAAAACACTTTTATTCATCATCAGATGTCAATTACACTTTACAAATTTCGAGGTTATCTAACTACTAAATCTAATATCATCCTTCAGCCCTATGCTCCGAGCATGCTGGAGATGCTTAACCCGAGTCAGTCCCTTCGTGAGGGGATCTGCCGGATTCTCATCTGATGATACCCTCTTTGCCACGAGGAGTCCTTCTTCGATCCGATGTCTGATGAAATGGTATTTTCTGTCGATGTGTCTGGATCTCCCATGATCCCTTGGTTCCTTGGCTAAGGCAACAACACTTTCACTATCACAGAAAATTTCCATTGGCTCTTTAATAGCTGGTACAACTCCAAGGTCTCCAATGAAGTTCCTCAGCCATAACGCCTCCTTTGCCGCCTCGCTAGCTGCAATATACTCTGATTCACAAGTAGAATCTGCCACTGTCTCTTGCTTGGAACTCTTCCAAGAAATTGCTCCTCCATTTAGGGTAAAGACCCAGCCCGACTGAGAGCGGAAGTTATCCCTATCAGTCTGGAAGCTAGCATCACTATACCCTACAACTCTCAAGTCATCACTCCCACCGAGGGTAAGGACCCAGTCCTTAGTCCTTCGTAGGTACTTGAGAATATTCTTTACCGCAGTCCAGTGTGCCTTGCCAGGGTTCCCCTGAAATCTGCTAACCATGCTCAGGGCAAAAGCTACATCAGGTTGAGTACACGTCATAGCATACATGATCGATCCTACAGCCGAAGCATAAGGTACTCGACTCATTTGTGCTATCTCAGCCTCAGTACTAGGGCTTTGTGTCTTACTCAGTTTGGCGTTACTCTGGATGGGCAATTCTCCTTTCTTGGAGTCCTGCATGCTGAATCTCTTCAGCACCTTATCCAAGTAGGTACTTTGACTAAGTCCAATTAGTCTTTTACTCCGATCTCTCAAGATCCTTATCCCTAAAATATAGGCAGCTTCACCAAGATCCTTCATAGCGAAACACTTTCCAAGCCAGGACTTTACTTCCTGCAAGGTTGGAATGTCGTTTCCTATGAGTAGTATGTCATCCACATACAATACCAAGAAGCTAACTATACTCCCACTAGCCTTGACATACACACAAGATTCATCTTCACTCCTAGAAAAGCCAAATTCCTTGACCTTTTCATCAAAGCAAAGATTCCATCTGCGAGGTGCTTGCTTTAACCCATAAATGGATTTCTCAAGCTTACACACTCTATTGGGTACTCGTTGCTGACAAAACCCTCTGGCTGACTCATGTAAACATCTTCAGCCAACTTTCCATTAAGGAAAGCGGTTTTGACATCCATTTGCCAAATTTCAAGTCATGAAATGCGGCTATGGCTAACAGAACCCGAATAGACTTAATCTTGGCTACCGGAGAAAAGGTCTCATCATAATCCACTCCAGGAATTT